ATATAGGCCGGTGAAGACATTGAATTTTAAGGGAAAGTCATAGCATAGTCCAGAGAACCCCCCACCCCCCCAAGCCATTGTCCAGATAAGAGGTGTTATTTATCATCAGCTCGGTTGAGGTTCCGTCACATGTCCACGGCCTTGGGGAAGGGAGGGGTGGGGAGACAGACAAAGCATCTTAGTTTTTTCCGAAACATGCCAGGAGGAGTTGAGATAAGTCTGCCGTCAAGGCCACAGTTTTGGGTCAGGCAGAGCTCGTGAATTGCTGTTTCTGCCTTTTAAAGTCTTGCTGGTATATTCCTCTGATGGAAACTCCAAACAGCCGAATTGATTCCTTACTCCGAAAGTCGAGCTCACAGCTTCTCCAAGATTATTCCCACCTTCATGTGTGCTGCTAGAGAGCCAAGCTCACATTGCCAACGTTTCCCTTGAGCCACAGTTGTCCAAAAGTAATATCCCAGTTCCACTATATAAAAAGCTTAATGGCCATATAAATGTATCAGCATCAATCAAAGTTCATCAAAAAGTACAGGTTTACAAGAATACTAACTTTAAGCAAATACACAATGTTCTGCATTTCTGCATGAAATACATTTTCATACACATTATTGAAAGTGATGAACCATATGAGAACAAAAACATCTACATATGGCAGCAAACACAGAGAGCAATGAGGTGTACAATAAGAAAGTCGGATCTTTTTAAATAGATGGAATACATTCTTAAACGCCTTCAATAAACAGAAGATGGTCCACATTCACATTCACTGTTTAGTTGGGTTTTTTTTTTTTGGTTTGGTTTGGTTCTACAAAGTGCTAAAATGTATTCTTAATGATCCACTTGCACACTCAACACTTGCTGTTACAAAATATACACTGTTCTAAATTCTCAGTATATTTCCTCTACAATCATGCACAAAGGTATCAAAAGCAACTTGGGGTTTTATGTTTCATGCAAGATACTTGGACATGTTGAGATGCTGGGGATTGTAACACTAATTTTCCAATGCCAGACTTGCTTTGAGCAGTAAACAAAATAAAACCCCTCATTCACCTAGATGAGCTTTCTACTCAGAAGACAACAGCAGCCAGCTAAACCACATTCAGATAACCACAAATAATGACGACCTTACTACCGTATTGACTGACAAATACTTAATGTTTCCTCATGCTGAATCAAATAAACTGATCTTTTTACAGCAAGTACAGTGGGTGGAGAATTTCATTCCAAGCCTTAAATTATATGTTTACAGCACTGACAATTATATAGTATCCAACAAAACCCATGTAAACACATCACATTACCTTCAGCTCCCACTTTGAGTTCTGATGAACTTCTCTGAATCTCCCGTTCGAGTAGTTCCTCTTTATTAGCCCCAGTTTTTAATGAAGTCACAGCTATAACAATTGAACACAGAAACATGGGAAAGGAAAACAGCAACTTTATGCAATACTCATACACAATGCAGACACAGCTGAAAGGATAAGAAAAAAAAACCTGCACCAACAACCAGCCTTTGTGCAATAAAAAAGACACAGGGCATCAAAATCCATAAAAGCTGAAGCACGTCAAACGTGATGAAGATCATGCCTTTTACAGTAATACTCTAAACTGCAATTCAAGCAAAATTTCAAGCATACCAGGTGCTATGCCACTGTCCCCTGTCACTGAAGGATTATGAATAGTGTTTGTAGTTTTTGAGTTGAATGATTTCTGGACTGGAATTGAACATGGAATCTAAGTAAACCTTAATGTTTTTGGTGCAAGATATCCAAGTGGGTAGGAGTTACACTGTGTATAAGAACAGAAGTAGCTTTTTATTTTTCTTATTTGCGATGGCGCTGAGTGATGGATCCAGCCAGACAAGTGGAGGGAGTAATTTTATCCACCACCAGGCGCAATGGCAAAGCCAGTGGGTTGCCAATGGTGGCCTTGGTCACTATATACTAATCTTTGGCCAACCCACTAGCCACCATTTAAGGAAACTATAATTTTAGTCTATATCAAACTAGAAAGCAGAGCTTCCTTAAATAATAGGGGTGGCCATCTTTGATTTTAATGTGGCAACCCAATTTTTGAAAGAAACCACGCCTAGATGCAGCCATACACCAAAAAGGAAGTTGGCCCGTAGTTTTTTCCCCCACGTTATCTAGCTCACAAAGTTTACATATATATGGCAGTGGCCATCTTGGATTTTGACCTGACAGACCAATTTTTGAAAGGAATATGTCTTATACCTTAATGCAGCCACACACCAAAATGGAAGTCAGTATCTCATTTATTTTTCAAGTTGTGCTCGCAACATGCAAGAACAGACAGATGTATGGAGGATATTTCCAGTGCCACCTTTTTCTCCGCAGTGGAACAGATCACAGGTTGGTTTTCGAACTATCTCTCAGATTGGAGGCAATGTGTTCGACACAATTGTACTTTGTCGAGCTATTTAACAGTCACTAATGTTGTGCCACAAGGCTCAGTTTTAGGACCCACTCTTTTTACAATTTAAATAATGTAGGTCAAAACATTCCTGATGCCTCCTTGCATCTCTATGCCGATGATACAGTTGATTATTGTCGAGCTAATACAGTTTCCAAGGTTTTCCAGCTTCTAGTATGTATTTGACACCACTCAGTCTGACTTGTTCCATCTCAAACTGGTGCTAAATGCTGATAAAATAAGGGGATACTGGTTTCAAATAGAAAGCTGGTGCCAGCAGCTCTTCCCCCCCATCTCATCCATGCTTGGTTTTCCTATTGAGTTTGTAGATTCTTATAAATACTTTGTACTTGGAAATTTTAATTAATGCACATCGCTCTTTTAAGCCTCAAGTTGAAAGCTTGATAAAGAAATTGAAATTAAAACTGGGTTTATTTTTCAGAAATAGATTTTGCTTAACTTTGAATGTCAGGAAATGCCTTGTAGCTGCTACTTTCCTGCCAGCCATTGATTATGATGACACTATTTACATGAATGCCCCTGCCAGCTCCTTGCAGATGTTGGATGCTCTCTACCATGGGGCACCAAGGTTCATAACTGGTTGCAACTACCATACCCATCACTGTACTCTGTACTCATTGGTCAGTTGGCCATCATTTTCTACATGTAGGCTCTCACACTGGTTTATTTTAATCTATAAACCACTCCTTGGTCTGTTGCTTTCTTTTATCTACCAGAACATACAAAAAATCCAAAACATTACTGCCAACATTCCATATGGCAACAAAGTATTAAATGTTTTACACAAAAATGAGGAACAATGCATTAAAATGAAGTGAAAAACCATAGATTACAACAAAAAGGCCACCGACCATCACTATATATTTTAGCCCTTGAACATCCAAGACACGTCTGGACAGACACAAGCTAAACTGAACTGACATTGTACCACATATTTTCTAGTTTTACATCCATGTTTCCATTTAGTTTTAAGCTGAATATTGTATGTCTTTAGCATTGACAGATATCACAGTAGCCAACAAATACATGCAAACTTAACATCTTCATGTTCCATTTCAAGTTCTCCTGAACCTCTCTGAATCTGTTTGAGAAGCTGCTCTTTAAGTGCCTCAAGTAGCTGGCACTGTCAAAGCTATAATGATTGAAGACAATTTCAATTTCACACAAGAAAGCACCAACTGCATGAAGTCTCATCAAGAGAGAGACACAGCTAATGGGTTCAAACTTGCAAATGTTTAAGTTCACAAGATTTCCTTTTCATATTAAAAACACAAGCAACAAAATTGTGGCACAAACCAGGTATGTGAAACAGCGAGTTAGGCCAAAACTAAAATTCTGAGTGAACGTATATGCCTGGAAACAACAGGACACCTTATAATATTGCCAAACAAATGAGCAGACAAAAGAATAAAAAAAAAAACTTCTACTGTTTAATTTATCTCTTGCTGTTTCTGATTGGTTTTAGCAGTTACAGAAGAGTCACCCATTTTTACTGAAATCCAAGAGTACTAAAACATCTGAAAAAGAGGTGCAGTTGCAAACAGTAAAACTTTAGCTTCATTCAAAGTGTACCTTCCCATCAAACTACAGTTACAGCTGAAATAAACAACTTAAGAGACTCTCCTGTAGGCAATCAAACTCTAACTAAGAGGAAGTTTTTGTTTGTTTTGTTTGTTACTCATTAGTATGACATCTGAACACGAGGGATCATAAATTATATTTTTCGATGAACTGGCTATGAAGCATCCAGTGCAATGCAACAATGATGAGGAAGCTTACATGACAACTCTGCTAAAAGACAGCAAATTTGATACGAGAAAGCAAAAGCACTTAAATTTCAGCCAAAAAAATGTCAAATGTGCAGGTAATACAATTCCAAGAAATACATTCAATCTTAACTTGTGCAATCTGTCACAAACTGCATCGACAATGCGCAAGCACAGTTTAAAGGTCCACTGACAACATACAGGCCATTTTCTAAATGGATAAAATCAAGCTTAAAATCAACCTTACTGTCTTTTTTTTTCATACCTCCAGTTTTTTCTTTGGTCTCTTGCATCTTGGTTTCTGGTTTAGCAGCCGAAGGAGGAATGGATGGCTTCACAGCTGAGAGAAAATGTTTACAACCGAGACCACCATGAAAAATATGTTGTTGTTTTTGTTGTTATTTTATGAACAGAAAGCTAAATATCACCAAAACAATGTCAAGAACGATTATATGAAATGAAAATCATTGCAACGCAACTATCTGTTGTCCAGTCAGAATAAACAACTGCAAAAGATACGTAGACATCCAATGTTTATAGCCAACATTATAACGCAAGTACAAAACACAAAAAGAAGCAACAATAAGAAAGGGCCTCAAAAATGCCAAAGTTCAAAAATTCACATAACAGTGAAGCCCAAGCTGCTAAAACCAGAAAACGCCAAGTTCCACAAAAATGAACAGAAAAGTGATCCAAGTACAGATTTTCAACCTGTCATGCCACTAAGATATGACAAAGGTTTCTCAGTCAATATGGTGTGAGACACACAAAAACATATCCACGATAAAGCAAACGAAAACAAACACACCCCAAAAAACATTTAAGATGACGCGAGTGAAACAAAGACAAATGGAACAGTCCAGACAAAATCCAAGATCAACAGGACAAATTTAGGACAATTTATCAGTGAATGAAATACAGTAAATCTCAATTTATAAAGTATGTTGAATTCAACTGTAAAAAAATATATAGTGAGCGTCATGACAAAAAAGAGATGGGATTCAAATAATAATACATCATCCTACCCTTGATCTTGACGCTGGCTGTGGTCTTCTGTTCTCCACACACACAGCTGTAGTCTCCACTGTCTTCTGGTACCACTTTACTAATAAGGAGCTCATTCACAGTGGCCTTCTGCTTCATCTGGTACTTCTCACTGGACTTCAGGACTTGTGATCCTTTCTTCCACTCCACTGGAGCTCCAGGTTTGGAGAGCTCACAGCTCAGAATAATGTTGGCTCCCTCTTCAGCCTCCTGGCTGTTCAACTTTTGTTTAAAGGTCACTGGTTGGGCTGAGGGTTTATTAGGTGGTCCATTATGAATTTCATGTCATATAAAATAGACTAATCAAAATGAAGTATTTTTTTATCAAAAAAAAGATAAAATAATGGCCAGCTTTTCATACGGTGATAAAATGCAAACTTTTTAAATAAGCAAAAAATAAAAGTATACAAACACATCTTGTACAATTTCAAAAAAAATACCTCCCATACCCTTTATGTTTAGACTGGCTGTGGTCTTCTGCGCTCCACACACACAGCTGTAGTCTCCACTGTCTTCTGGCACCACTTTGGTAACATGGAGCTCATTCACAGAGGCCTTCTGCTTCATCTGGTACTTCTCACTGGACTTCAGGATCTGTGTTCCTTTCTTCCACTCCACTGGAGCTCCAGGTTTGGAGAGCTCACAGCTCAGTGTAATGTTGGCTCCCTCTTCAGCATCCTGACTTACCAGTTTTTGTTTGAAGGTCACTGGTTGGGCTGAGTGTTAAAAAGTTGCTAATCAGTGAATGGCATTTAGTATGAAAGCAAACAACAAAAACAACACAACTGAAGACAAGACAAACACTGACAGTTTGTATTCTAATTTGACAGCCAAAAAGTTCAGCATAAAGTCTTAAAAACATACATACAATAAATTATAACAAAAAAAAATAATGTGCCACTTGTAAAATCCCCCTCCTACCCTTTATGTTTAGGCTGGCTGTGGTTTTCTGCTCTCCACACACACAGCTGTAATCTCCACTGTCTTCTGGAAGCACTTTGCTAATGTGGAGCTCATTCACAGAGGCCTTCTGCTTCATCTGGTACTTCTCACTGGACTTCAAGACTAGTGATCCCTTCTTCCACTCCACAGGGACTCCAGGTTTGGAGAGCTCACAGCTCAGAATGATGTTGGCCCCCTCATCAGCATCCTGACTGACCAGCTTCTGTTTGAAGGTCACTGGTTGGGCTGAATATTTATTAGTTGGTTAGGAACCAGCAGCATGCAAAGACATCAAATGACTGACTTCACATAGCATGGGTAAAACAAAACAAACAAAAAAAAACAAACTACAAAATAACAAACACTGAAAAGTTGCAATTACAGGAAGAGCTAAAAATAAAATTAATACAACTGAAAAGGTGCTTGAATCTTTTCCCAAATCACAGCAGGCTGTTTAAAACTCCTCCTCCTACCCTTTATGTTCAGGCTGGCTGTGGTCTTCTGTTCTCCACACACACAGCTGTAGTCTCCACTGTCTTCTGGCACCACTTTACTAATGTGGAGCTCATTCACAGAGGCCTTCTGCTTCATCTGGTACTTCTCACTGGACTTCAGGACTTCTGTTCCTTTCTTCCACTCCACTGGAACTCCAGGTTTGGAGAGCTCACAGCTCAGAATAATGTTGGCTCCCTCTTCAGCCTCCTGACCCGCCAGCGTTTGCTTGAATGTTACTGGTTGGGCTGAGCATTATTAACGTGGTAATTAGTTAATAAAATGTAAAACATTTAATATGATAAACAAAATAAAAGACTTTTCAGATGAAAGCAAAACACGACACACTGACTGTTCAAAACCTCTGATGCCAGCTACACGGTGCAACATAAAGGCTTAAAAATGTAAACACTGTATATACTCTGTCAAATAAAAAAACAACAACAAAGTCATAACATGTACATGTAATATAAAAATAAGCAAACCAACATATAACATAAAACAAGACAAACACTGATGTTTTTGCAAGCTTTGATAAATGCAGACTTTGCAGCATAAAGGCATAAATGCTTAGAATGTGAATTTGAAAAGCCTTTTATATAAAAATATCTCCTCCTACCCTTTATGTTTAGGCTGGCTGTGGTCTTCTGTTCTCCACACACACAGCTGTAGTCTCCACTGTCTTCTGGCACCACTTTGGTAACATGGAGCTCATTCACAGAGGCCTTCTGCTTCATCTGGTACTTCTCACTGGACTTCAGGATCTGTGTTCCTTTCTTCCACTCCACTGGAGCTCCAGGTTTGGAGAGCTCACAGCTCAGTGTAATGTTGGCTCCCTCTTCAGCCTCCTGACTTACCAGTTTTTGTTTGAAGGTCACTGGTTGGGCTGAGTGTTAAAAAGTTGCTAATCAGTGAATGGCATTTAGTATGAAAGCAAACAACAAAAACAACACAACTGAAGACAAGACAAGACAAACACTGTCAGTTTGTATTCTTATAGCCAAACAGTTCAACATAAAGTCTTAAAAATGTCCTTACAATAAACAACAACAGAAAATGGATGTGCTACTTGTAAAATCCCCCTCCTACCCTTTATGTTCAGGCTGGCTGTGGTCTTCTGCTCTCCACACACACAGCTGTAGTCTCCACTGTCTTCTGGCACCACTTTACTAATGTGGAGCTCATTCACAGAGGCCTTCTGCTTCATCTGGTACTTCTCACTGGACTTCAGGACTTGTGATCCTTTCTTCCACTCCACAGGGACTCCAGGTTTGGAGAGCTCACAGCTCAGTACAGTGCTCGCTCCCTCTTCAGCGTCCTGGTTCTTCAACTTTTGTCCAAACGTTGGTGGCAATGCTGCATCAACAAGTTTATTTTTACGTGTCAAAATTAGCCAAAATAAAAGATTTTCCAAAAGTCTTTCAAGTTAAATAATCCAAATCATAGGCTTGTAGAAAATGCAATGTGATTTTTTTGAAAACTTGGATAAAAATGACAATATTGATCCATACCATTAACTTTCAAGGTAGCAGATGTCTTCTGGTCCCCACACATGCAACAATATTCTCCACCATCTTCAACGTTCAGATTAAATATCTGAAGTGTACAGGAGGTGTGTTTTTGTTTCACGTCATATTTGTCTCCTGGTTGGAGATTCTCGAAGCCTTTCATCCACTGGACTTGGGCTGCAGGTCTTGAAACTTCACAGCAAAGTGTCACTGTCTCCCCTTCATTTCTGGTCTGGTTTTTGAGCTTTTCGCTGAAGCTGGCTGGCAGGACTAAAGTCAAGTAAACATTGACTTGATTATATGAAACAAGCTGTTGATTTTGTCTTGGTTGCAAAGATAACAATGAGACATTAGTGATGAAAGTGATGAGTAAATTAACATGTTCCAGTTGGATGGCAATAGCTCTGGAAACCCAAATAAAACCCATTTGGCTGATTTTCTTCTTGTTAAAAGTTTCTCTCAAACAGGTCATCTTGGCTCTGTGATTACAACACAGAGCATTTTGTTTTCAAATGTGTAAAGAAAAGGCACGTGGCTGCAGACCTCTGAAATCTTACGTTGTCCAAATGTTGTTGTTCAGTTTCTGCTTGCACAAACTAATTCGCACATATCCAAAGATGAACAAAATGCACTGAGCAAAACAACAAATCACTCAATTTATAAAAATAATACACAAAACAAGCACAAAACATACTAAATTAACATGTATAGATAAAAGTAAACTTGCAATTTTCAGTTTCGTCCTCACACATTCTCACCTTTAATGGTCACCTTCGCCATGCTTTTGGCAGTACCCACATCACATGTGTAGATATCAGTATCTTTCTCCTCCAGGTGTTTGATGGTAAGAGTTAAGACCCTTTCCTTCTGAGATATCTCATAACGTCCTCCAGCCTTGAGCTCCGTGTGGCCTTTCAGCCATGCCACTGTGGATGGGGTTTGTGCTGTTTCGCACTGTAATGTCACAGAGCTCTTCTCATCTGCTTGAACATCCTCAAGCTCTTTGGAAAATTTATGGATTGGTTCTGACAGAAAGGCAATCAAGATCATGTTACATCTTACACAAGTCTACTAGATGCTCAAAGGTTGTCAAAAATTCAAGTTATAGATAAATGGAAGTACATTTTCAATGATCGTTCTTACCTTTTATTTCTAGCGTGGCTTTAGTGGTTGCACCTCCAATAACCTCACAACTGTACTCTCCAGAGTCTTCAGCAGACACATTATGAATATTCAGCTTCATGACCTTGTCTTGCTGACTGATCTCATACTTCTGGCTTTTCTTGATGGCTCTGCCATCCTTGGCCCACTTCACAGTAGATCTAGACTGTGTCACCTCACAGGTGAAAACAGCATTTTCACCTTGAACTGCAGAAATATGTTGAAGTCCTTTTGATAACGATGAAGCTTTTCCTAAGAGAAAGGAAAATCAAACATTTAATTGCAGACTTTTGTTTTTGACCTCAAGGCCTCTTGACTAATACTGGGGACCAGTGAGAGACGTCACATTCACACTTTGCCTCTAAGCATTAAGAGTATCTGGAAAAAAACTTCCACACACAGCAAAGAAAAACTCAAGCTACAAACTCAGACTTATGATACATGAAATCACAGGACAACATAAATTAGCAATGCAGCAAGAAGCAAAAAACTATGTTAGGATAATTTAATATTATCCTTGTAATAGCTCTTTAAATAAATATGCCAAACAGGAGAGGTAGAAAATGTTCTTAATCCCAGGTTTAATCTTGCAAGATGGACCAGAGGTTGAAATACAAGCAGGCAAGATGTTTGACGCTTCGTCTCCATGTCTGTTCACCGAGAGCCTAAAAAGGTGTCTTTTTATAATCGATATCAGTCAAAGGCAAAGCAGACGACTCCTTGCTTATTCGGGTGAAAGGCTCCATGCTTATGCAGCACTCTGATCCAGACAAAAACAACTCTTTAACACACACATGGTAATACGAGTTATAACATTTGACTTTAGTAAGTGAAAAACATCTGTGACCTTTCACATCTCTATCATTATACATTGCTGAATAATGTAAAAATGTGAGAAATCAATGGCAGAATAATGTCAGCTCCTTTTAAGTCAGATATTTAGATCTCAGGTCTCTCTTGTAAATGAGTCCCCAAGGCTCAATGGGATTAACCTGTATAAATACAGGTTGAATGAATATTAGCAACAGACATAGTTTATAGTCCAGTCATTTGTGTTTGTTTTAAAGCCCTTAAACTAAATGCTCAATTTTTAAGTTAATACAATTCATCATGTGAATTGTTTTATATATGCAAGGTTTATTATGCAGTAAAGTTCTGTGTCAGAAAAAAGTTAATCTAAAATTAATAACGGTGACTCTGCATCTATTCAATATGTTGAATTTAAATTGAATTTGTTACAAAAAGCCCTGATGTCCAATTGAACCAACAGTGCATTACTTACCAAACAAATAGAAGAGAATGACATTCATAAATGCACAAGACATTCAAATGTTAATTTATGGCTTACCTTCAACTTTTAATGTTGTTTTGGAGCACAGATCTTTAAGGCTGAAGACCACCTCCCCTGCATCAGCCGGGGTGACATCCTTTATTGTCAGCAAGTACTTGCGTCCTTGACTTGAGATCTTAATACGGCCTCCATTTCTAATAATTTGGCCATTTACAGTCCATGAGCACTCATCTGTGCTCTCACGAGACAGAACGCACTCGAAGCTGCATGTGTCTCCTTCATTAACTTCAGCCGATTTTAGCCATTTTGTGATAGCAATACCAATTTCTGCAACAAAAATCAAGAGAATTGTTGATCTGTGTGTATAACAATCCACTTTTTTTATAATGTAAAAATACATACCTCTTACAGTGACCTTTGACTTTGACACTTCTGTGCCAAGATCACAGCTGTACTCTCCAGCATCCTCTTTGGTGACATCCTTGATGATCAGTCCCAAAGACTTGCCGGTATGCAGGAGTTCATACTTTGTTCCAGCTTTTAGGACTTTACCATCTTTTCTCCAAATCGGAGACACCCTTGGCTTGGATGCCTCACATGCCAAAGTTATCATGCCCTTCTCCTCTCCAATGACATCATCAAGTGACTTGAGGAACACTGCACGTTTCTCTGCAAGACAGATGAGAAAGGTAAGGTTGACTGAGCATGATGACATATTCTTATCTGTGAGTTCAGCTTAAATAAAAACATTTATGTTCAAACTAAAAACATGATTAGGTGTGACTTTTAGCAGCAAATTATTTCAACCATAGATATTTAGTCCCATCATCAAATTAAAAGCGTACCAATAGGCCTGTCACAATAACACATTTTGCTGGGTGATTAACTGTCTCAGAAATCTTTGTGATAAATGATAATATTGTTTGAAATTTGACAATAATTAGTAATTAATGTCAAATTTAAGAATAAATGATGGTTAATTTTTGTGTAGTGCCTTTTTTGACCACTGGATGGCAGTATAAGACTGTCTGAACTCAAGGATGAATAGTAAGGTTAGCGAGTAGCGTGTCTCTTTAAGAAAAATGGGAGGGAGGCCCCATGACGTGACATGGGCTGTCTCTCTTTCCTGTTTTTCGGTTCTCAAAATGGCAGATGCTCAGTGTGGTTTGAGCTCTTTAGCATAGCATTTTTCACACAAAGCTTTTAATAAAAATAAAAAAAATCAGTAAACAAATTCTCAGCTTCTTTTTGTAGAGAAAAACAACTTTTAGACGAAGGCACTGGTTTCAACCATGAATTCTGGAGCTTTGACAAGATGGAGGATCTTTCCCGAGGTCAGCATGTTAGCTTAGCTTCTCAACTTAGCTTTTTAGCTTAGCTGCTTAACGATCCAAAAACTTGATTTTGGATGGTTAAAACAGATTTTAAAGAGAAAAGAGAAAGGGAGGGGTCTGTAAAGAGTACTGGAGTTGAGCCTTTTGTCATCCAGCGTCCAGTAGAAAGAGAGAGACATGAAGAAACGAAGCGGATAAATGAAAATGAAGTCGATAATTTTCATTTATCGTACGATTAACTCATTTATTGTTTATCACGACAGGCCTACGTACTAAAAAACAGTGAAAAACATTCCTCACCTTTAACCTTGAGTGTAGCAGTCTCTTTTACTTTGCGAACTTGAAACTTGATGGTTCCCCCATCTTGGGGAGCTAAATTTTTCAGAGTGAGCTTGTGGACCTTTCCTTCATGAGTTATGGTGTTAACTTCGTTCGTGAAGAGCACCTTGTCATTCAGAAGCCACTGTGCCTCTTCATCTGCATAGTTAATCTCACATGTGAAGATTGCATCGTTGTCTTCATCAACTTCCGTGTCAACAAGGTGCTTGGTGATCTTAATTTCACGAACTAAGTAGAAACAATGCAGCCGTGTAAATTTGAAGTAGATGCTGACTTAGGTGATGGTTTATTCTTACATTGTTATAATGTAATGTTTTCAAATTTAGTGGTAATAAAAACTACATATTGTACCTTCAACAGTAAGGGTGCCTTTGGTCTCAGCTGGTCCTGACTGACAGCAATATTCTCCACTGTCCTCCTCAGTCAACTTTTGAATTGTAATCTGGGCCTTTGTAGCATCTTGCTTCATGCTGTACTTGTCCGATGCTTTCAGAAGTGCCTGACCTTTGAACCAATTAACCTCTTTGGGTGCTGCAGAAAATTTGCAGGTGAGTATTGCAGAGCTTTTCTCCTTCGCTTTAACATCTTTGATAGGCTCTGCAATCTCAAGTGGACGCTCTAAATATACAGAAGAGTATATGATTAGGCACAGTGGCATTATACAACAAAATCCATTATAAAACTATTCTTTCACGTAAACATGCCATTTAGAAACATTCACCTTTAACAGTGAGCTGAGCTAAGGATTTGCTCTTCCCAGCAGTAAACTGCACAGGTCCTGTCATTGAAGCTTTGGTCTTTTTGAAAGTGAGACGATGCAGGGTGCCTTCTTTCTCCATCTCAACATCAGCACCCTCTTGCACAGCAACTCCATTTAAAGTCCACACAGGAGGTTTTACCAGCTCCATACTGATTTCAACTTCAAAAACAGCTGCGAAGGGCTCTGTCACCTCTAGTGAAGCGAGTTCTCGAACAATGCTTATGGACTGCTCTGTAGGGACCACAAAATAATCCAAGTTTAGTGGAGGTCAATATCAAGATTTCATAATAAAAGTAATAATGTTTAAATTATTAGTTTAACCTTTAAAACACAAACCAAATTGCAAAAAGTACTCAATACTTTATTGATGTTTTATGTGTACTGGCACAAAAAAATATATATGAAAAAATTGTTCATGAGTGAGTGTCCTTGTGTTTTTACTAATTAGACATTAATTTAAAAAAAATATATATAAGTTTAATACACATTATTAATTTTAAAAACTATTCACATTCACTATTCACATATAGGAGCAATTTAGCTTTATTGTTTAGTATTTGAGACTAAAACGTTGATTTATTTTAGTAATTTAGCGCTTGTTACAAAGAGAACATGAAACAAATCGTTACATTACAAAATATCCCATTAGTAAATTTGTTTTTCACATCAAAAACCAAACAAGTGCTTCATTGATTAGCAGTCTGATGGCTCATTGTAAAATACTGTACTGATTTACATGAACACTGGGGCTTACGACCATCATCTTCCACTGTATTACCTTCCACAAGGAGTTTACATGAAGTCTTGTCATCAGCAGCGTCGCAGGTATATGTGTCTTCATCGCCACCGTCCACATCATTGATGGTGAGCTTTCGGTACACATCTTCACTTTTAATCTCGTATTTTTTACTTGGTTTGATCTCCATCTTGTTTTTGAACCATTTCACGTTTGCACTGGCACGTGAAACTTGGCATTCAAGATGAGCACGGTGCTTGTACATTGCTATCTTATCCCTGAGTTTCTTCACAAACTTGACAGGCAGCTCTACAGTAACAACAACACAGAGTGAATAAAAACCCAATAAATTCTGCAGCTAATAACAATAAGATCTACTAATGCAGCATAGGCCAGGCTTTCTCTATTTTGCAATTACACCATAAATCCCAAGCAAATAAAGTTAAAATGTTGTGAAACTAAATGTTCCAAATGAATATTCAAGCTAAATAAGTATGATCCTTAACTCTAAGTTTACTTGTCTTTAAGATGTGATTAATCTGCCATCAGGCTTCAATGAGAAACAAAGTCACAGCAAGACAATTTGATTTTCCATCATACCATACCCAATGGAGTCAGAAAAATGCAAAATAAAAAAAAATAAAATTCCAGTGTAAGACCAGATTTAAAATGTCCAGGTTGCATTGACTATTTGCAACATTTCCTATCCTGATGCATGCTCAATAATTTGCAACATTCTAATGAATTTGATGCTAATCCATGTGCAAATCCATTCAACATAAGAACATGATAGTTACTAATTCCACTCCATGCAGCAAAGCATACAGTATAAATGTGATGTAATTTTCAGAACATGGTAGAAAAACTGCTCACCTTTCACTTTAAGTTTTGCAGCTGAAGAAGCTTTCTCTGCTGTAAATTTAATCTCACCCATATCTTCAGGAGTAACAGATTTAAACAGCAGTACAAATGTTCTGCCTGAAATGTCATAAAGTTTGTAAAGAAAAAAGAAAGACTTGCAAATCAAAACAAAAGTGTTCCTTTAATCAAGAGTCTTACCCTCCTGTCTCATCTTGATGTTCTCGTTGACTTTAAGTTTAGTGCTTCCTTTGTACCAGTGACAATCCACGTCGTCATGTGAGATTTCACAAACAAATGAAGCACTCTCCTTCTCCATCACCTCGACATCCTCCAGCTTCTTAATGATCTTGATATCTCTGGCTGCAGCAACAACATTAAGACTACATTTGATTTCAACAGCTTCACGGACGGACACTGACTTCTTCGTTTTGTTTGTAACAAAATAATTACCTTGAACAATGAGCTTAGCCGAGGTGTTATCATCAGTAGTGCGACAGACGTAAGTGCCTCCGTCTTCAGGTGTGCATTTATGAATAACTAAAGTCCGCTTACGGCCCAAGGAATGAACGCCAAAGTTTTTTCCTGGCTTCAGTTCAACATCACCCTGCAGGGTATATGAAAATGTTATGCATGTACTATACATGTTTCATAATAGTTTGCTAGTCTTGATTAAAACAGTATGTTTTTACCTTGAACCATTTCACTTCTGCATTTGTTCTAGACACCTCACATTCTAAAGTAACCTTCTCCTTCTCAGGAACACTGATGTCCATCATGGGTTTGGAGATCATAGCAGGAGGTTCTGTAAAAGCAACATATTTTACTCCAAATGTGACTGATTGTGGCCAGTCCAGACCCCAAAAGGACAAAGCAGCAGCAGAATGTACCGGTTACTATCAGTTTGGCTGACGTATGGACTCCCTCTGCTTGGAAAGAAATCAATCCAGCATCTTCCTTCTTGAGATTGGACAGTGTCAGGTCGTGCTTCTTTCCCAGGGTTGTGATGCGGCAGTTTGACCCAGACTTCAACTTGGCCCCGTCTCTGGTCCATGAGCCTTCAACATCCGCCTGACTGAGCTCTACCTCAAAGGTAACCGTTTCTGTTTCGTGTGCTTTAGTTTCTTTTAGACCTTTTATTACCTGGATCTTTTTCACTAAAAGGGAGAGATAAAAAGTTAGGAATTGCCACGCAAGAGAAAAATGGAAGTGCTATGATCTACACTATAAAACAATCCAGACACATATGTATCTGTAGCTGACTGGTATGTTGTAACAACCAAAATGCACATTTTATTCTGTCTTTTTAAAATGAGAAATGTGTATAGTCTTACTCTCAACAGTGAGCTTGGCCTGTGTCTTGTCATCAAGAGTCTCACAAGAATATAGTCCACGATCAGCATAAGTTACTCTCTTGAACACCAGAGTTTGCTTTGCTCCGTCCACTCGTATTTCTATGTCTCCTGCAGGCTGCAGCACCACGCTGTTTTTCATCCACTTGACTTCATTCGAAGCCTTACTGAGCTCCACTTGCAGTTTCACCTCACTGTTCTCCTCAACTGTCAGGTTTTCCAGCTTTTTCTTAAAAATCACAGGCACGCCTAAAAGGGATACACAGAATTAAAAAAGTTTTGGAAGCTGCAGCTTTAACATATATTTCAACATTTTTTTTTTAATTCTTACATTGAATTTGCAGGGCAGCTTTGCAGCTTTTGCCTTCTGCATCAACACTTATCTCTCCAGCATCTTTCTGTGTGACCGAGGTGATTGTAAGCGAGAAACTTCCACCTCCGTGCTCAGTTTTGTACTTGGGCCCAACGGTGATGGGTATACTGTTGTGGAACCACTTTACGCTGACATCAGCTGGGGTGACAGCACACTTGAAAATGGCGTCTTTACCTTCCATTGCAGCTACATTGTTTAATTTGGTGGTCAACCGTACAAGTCTTGGTGCTGAAAGAAACAAAAGTTTATATTAAAGTAAATTTAAAGTGTTAAACTATCTTTTTTTAAACTTTTCAATTAGTCATTTACCTTTTGTGGTTAGTTTAGCAGATGTCTTGTCATTTTTACATACACAGCTGTATTCTCCTTCATCTTCCTTTGTCACGCCTGTTACAGTAAGAACACGTTTAGCACCATCTGCTTTGACACAGTGCCTGTTTCCAGGTTTAATCTCACGCCCATCATGATGCCAGACAACTTCCCCCGAGGCCTGATTTAGCTCACAAATCAGGCAGAGTGTTCCTCCCAACTCCACTGCGGCTGATTTCAAAGGAACAACAAACTTCAAAGCTGACTCTGAAATGACAAAACGAGTTCCACGTCAAAACCAAATCAAACATTTGCAAACGTTCAGGCAAAAATAAAATGCATTGGCTATTCCATGAGCTACCTTTAACTTGAACTTTGAACTCCATTTTGTCATCTGGAGTTTGACAGGAGTATGTTCCACCGTCCTTGGTCTCTGCAGATTTCACTATCAGAGTATGAGAAAGGCCATCTGTTTTCATTTCATACTTGCTGCTTTCCTTCAGCTCAACACCGTCTCTCCACCACTTGACATTACCACTCTTTGTGGTCAGCTCACTGGTTAAAACTATGTTTTCACTTGCTTCAACAATAAATGTGTCTTTGACAGTCTTCTTCTTGAACTTAATGGCTACATCTTCAGAGAGGGATTTTTATTAACTGCCTTGTACAAAAAATAATAATTCCACTTAAAAATCAAACATATTAAAATACAAGTTTACCTGTTGGCTGTGGTTTAGTGGCTAGTTTCTCACTTCCAGCTTCACAAGTGTATTCTCCAGCAACCTTCTTCTCCATTTTCTCTATCACCACTTCATGAACCTTGCCCATTGACTCCATTTGGGCTGCCTTGCTGGAAGTCAGAAGCTTTTCATCTTTGTACGACTTCACCTCTGTTTTTGATTCTGAAACCTCTGAACTCAGAGTGGCTTTCTGATATTGAGAAGCTTTTCCTTCTCTCTGGACTGATTCCTTGTTAGAGAGGCTTGAGAAAGGTTCTGAAAAACAGATAAAAAAAATGACAAAACATTTCAGTAAACTATTCAATTCAATTAACTTTGTTTATATAGCACCAAGTCACAACAGAAGTCATCTCAGGGCACTGAACAGAAACATTTATTTATAAAAAAATAATAATTAAACAGAAACATTCATAAGTTAACACTATTTATCTGAGGAGCAGACTGCTTTGAATTTAACTCCATCACAGAACTCTCATCTGGAGCAAACATGAAGGCAGCAGTGGAAAGGAAAACTCCCTTTTAAAAGGAAGTAACCTTTAGCAGAACCAGGCTCAGGACAAGTGGCCATCTGCTTCGACCGGATGGGTTTGGTAGGAACAGATACACAATGGCAGGTAACAGATACACAATGGCAGGTCAAGAATCGCATGTTAAGATAGAAATAGTATCAGATGAAAACTATTAAATTTTAGCAAATCATTTAAGGACATGAGGTCAATTTGTCCTCCACTAGTCTAAGCCTATCGCAGCATAACAAGCCAACCCTAATTACAGGATTTATCAAAAAGGAAAGTCTTAAGCCCAGTCTTAAAACTGGACGATGTGTCAGCCTCACGGACAGAAACTGGGAGGTGGTTCCACAAGAGAGGAGCCTGATAACTGAAATATCTTCCTCCCATTCTGCTTTTGAAAACTCCTGGAACCACAAGAAAACCTGCAGTCTGAGAGTGAAGTGCTCTGTTGGGAAAATATGGAACAATAAGATCTCAAATATAAGATGGAGCTAGGTTGTTGAGAGCTTTGTAGGTTAGAAGTAGGATTTTGAATTCAATTCTGGACTTGACAAGGAGCCAGTGGAGAGAAACTAAAACTGGACAGATATGATCTCTCCCACTAACTCCAGTTCATGGCAGCAGCATTTTGGATCAACTGAAGACTTTTTAAAGAAGTATTTGGACACCCAGATAACAAACCATTGCAATAGTCCAGTATAAATGTGACAAATGCATGAACCAGTTTTTCTGCATCATTTTTAGATAAGATGTTTCTAATTGTAGTGATATTACGCAGGTGGAAGAAGGCGGTTCTAGTAACGTTTTTAATGTGGGGGATGAAAGACATGTCCTGATCAGAAATAACACCAAAAAAAGAATCATAGCAGTGACCAGATTTCCTAGTTAAACTCAAATAATGGCAAATATGAGAAAAATAACAGTATAACACAACAGTTTCAGTGTATTTGTATACTGTGGAAAATAAAAGCAGTATCTTCTCCTTCCTACCTTCCACCTGTATCTTAAAGGCCAGCTTCTCAGACTCAGCCTCACAGATGTATTCTCCAGCATCTTTCTTTTCCACACTTTCTATCAGCAGCTGGCGGCTCTTGCCCTTTGACTCTGTATGTATTGTCTTGCTGGATGTCAGCAGCTTGCCATCCTTGTACCATTTCACCCCTGTCTTTGCATCAGCAACCTCACAACTCAGGATGGCTTTCTGGGATAGATGGGCTTTTACATCTGTGTGAATAGACTCTTTGTTGTGGAAGGCAGACTTGATCTGGATCTCTGCAGAAGTAAAGAAAGAACAGGTAAGGAAACTATTTCACCATTGTACTATTTTACAGAAGCATGTTAAAATGCAGAATATAGCATTTAAAATGTACCAAATATCATGTAATTTGTTTGAGCTTTTCCATATTAAAATTTGATGCTAAATGAAATCATCAATGAGAGTTATTGTAAATGTTTTTGGTTTAACAGATAGCATTTCCCTTTACCTTCAACATGTAACTTAAAGGCCAGCTTCTCAGATCCAGCCTCACAGATGTACTGTCCAGCATCCTTCTTCTCAACACTTTCTATTACCAGTTGGCGACTCTTGCCTTTAGAATCAGTGTGGACTGATTTGCTGGATGTCAGCAGCTTGCCATCCTTGTACCATTTCACCACTGTCTTGGCATCAACAACCTCGCAGCTCAGAGTAGCTTTCTGGAATAGTGAGGCTTTCACCTCCCTTTGAACCGACTCCTTTTTGACGAAGGCAGACTGAATGTGTGTGTCTGTATGAATAAAAGATTTTTAATGCCAGCACAGTCCCAGTTGAGTGAACCATTCAAGAGAAAAATAAACAGGCCAATTTAATCATTGATCCTACCTGACACCTGAAGTTTGAAGCTCAGCTTGTCAGTCCCAGCCTCACAAGTATATTCTCCAGCATCCTTCTTCTCCAGATTATCTATCACCAGCTGCCGACTTTTACCAATCGATTCTGCGTGTATTGTTTTACCATATGTGAGGAGCTTTCCATCTTTGTACCATTTCACCTCTGTCTTGGAATCAGAAACTTCACAGCTAAGAGTGGCTTTCTGGGACACAGTGGCTTTCACCTCATTCTGAACAGTCTCTTTGTTGGAGAAGACTGACTGGGCCTCTGATGAATGAGTCATAACAGAGAACATTTCAGACACTTCTTATATAAAGTAGGGATGCACGATATTGGATTTTTGGCTGATATCCAATATGCCAATATATTAAAACTTATTTGGCTGATAACCAATACAAATACTGATTTTTTTTCTCCTAGACCTACTTAGAGAGACTACATAGCTTTCTCTGCTGTGGAATTAAAATACTACATTATTCTGCATGGTCTTTGTCAGTTTGGCCTGCTACCAAATGCAGATGCCAAAAAGAGGGCTGAAAATGATGTAACACTTCAACTTGGATTATGTTTAATGTCAAATTTATTCATGACATTTACTCTCTCTAACACAATGACAACACTCGAACAGTGCAAATTTGTAAATGTTCACGAATCTAAACTCAACCTGTTCACAAGCGACAAGTGAAAAGTGCATAAGTAGTAGTGCATTAATAGATATATTTGACAGTTTCTTAAATTAAAAATTAACTTAAAACAGAAGCCTTTTATATTGGTGAGTTATTTTGATGGAATGGCCGATGTCCGATATTTAACTATCGCTAATATCGGCTGATACCTATACCATGCCGATAATATTGTGCATCCCTAATATAAAGTTAAAAATATCAAATAATAAAACACAACACTCTTACCTGCCACGTGGATTTTAAAAGCCAGCTTCTCAGATCCGGCCTCGCAGATGTAATCCCCACCATCTTTCCTCTCCACACTTTCAATCACCAGCTGGCGACTCTTGCCTTTTGATTCAGCATGGATTGTTTTGCTGGATGTCAGAAGCTTACCGTCTTTGTACCATTTTGTCTCAGTCTTGGTGTCAGCTACCTCACAGCTCAAGACAGCTCTCTGGGAGAGAGTAACTTTCACTTCCCTCTGAACAAACTCTTTGTTGCAGAAAGCTGACTGAGCCTCTGAAAAGAAAGTCGATGACAAATGCACAACTGGTATGAGCACTGTTTCGAATCCCTGATGACCAACAGACAGACAATATGATCATAGCTCTAAAGGTATTCAGGAGTTTGCAAGAAAAAAAAAAGTGTAAATATTATGTTTTTCTCCCAATCATCGAGATTTTTACATGAAGGATTTCTCTTACACCTTGTTACAACCCTTTTCTGAACAGGCTTGTAAAAGTCCAAATATGTTTGAGAATATTATCTGAACTTTTACTGCCAAGTGTCTTCAACCAGAAACTTACAAGCAGGCATAACATTTTAAATTAACCAATCAAGCAGCCTTACCGGACACAAATATCTTGAAGAGCAGCTTGTCTCCTCCAGCCTCACACGTGTACTCTCCAGCATCACTCTTCTCCACCTTTTCAATCACCAGCTGACGAGTAGTGCCCTTCGCCTCTGAGTATATCGTCCTACTGGACTCCAACAACTTCCCATCTTTATACCATTTCACCTCTGTTTTGCTGTCAGATACATCACAGCTAAGACTTGCTTTATGGGAAAGGATAGCTTTGACCTCTTTTTGAACTGACTCTTTGTTGGAGAAAGCAGCAACTGCTTGGGTTTCTAAAAAATAATAATGGTCAAAGTTTATTAAAATTTTACAACAGCTATGTAACTAAGAATTTAACTTCTATTGTCTGCTAAATATTACCATACAGTCTTACCTTTTATCTTGACATGGAATGTGACTTTATCACCTGCTGTCTCACAGGAATAATATCCTTCATCACTTTTCTTGGCACTCTTTATGATGAGTTTCCTTTGAGTCCCTTTGGAGATAATAGTGGTTCTTTGGTCCTCATTGATCTCCACTTTATCTTTTTTCCACACGACGACAGCGCTCGCTAGAGACACCTCACTGCTCAGCTCAAGATCCCCTTTAAGAGACAATGATAATCCCATAGGACCTCTGGCTTTATTTAAAAATTTGGCAGGTTCATCTAAAGAAAAAAGAAGAAAGAAAAGGAAGACCAGTATATACATTTTTTTATCATTGTGAAAGAAAAACACTTCAATTTATTTTAGGATAAAATGGTGTCGAAAAGCAGTAAACTCTGCTCCACAATCAAATTCAATTGTGAAACAATACCAGTAATTGTAATTTTGAAGAATATACCTTTAAGAGCAAGCTGAATGGACAGTTTGTCATCAGCTAAAGCACACTCATAAATGCCCACATCTTCCTCCGTAACATTGTGTACCACCAGGATCCTCTTACGATCTTGCAACACATATTCATACTTCTTGCCCATTTTCAGCTCCCGCCCATTCTTCATCCAAATCACCTGGAAAAACAAAGAAAGTAAAATTTAATGAAATATAAGTGACAAAGTGATTAACTGAAATTATGTCCCTTGAGGTTTCTAAGAGTAAAAAAAACACAATTTAATAACAGTCTAACCATATTCTGTAAATAAGGTGTTAAGTCCATGTTCTGCAGATTTGTGTAACAAATTGTGGTAAAAGTGCAAAATATAGTGCAAGCCTTGGATAATCTTTACTTAACAAGCAGTTAGACAGTGCAATAAAAAAAAAAGCTTACTAAATATTGTAATAAATATTAAAGCCACCATGACAACAGTCAAATGTTTGTGATTAGTTGTTTTAAACCTCCACGTTTAAAATTTTCCACCATATCTGTCATGGTCAGTGGTGGATAGGACCCATATGTAGACAGACCCAGAGGAGCTCGAGTAAAATACGCAAAGCTTATCAATTTTTTTTATATTTCAACTGCTCTCTTCCTCAGGGGTCGCCACAGTGAACTATCTTGCACGAAGACTTGGCAATTGTTTTTATGGCAGATGCCCTTCCTGATGTAACCACAGACCACCGAGCTACCACAGCCCTCTGTGTGGAGCAGAGATCTGCTATCTAGGGCACCTGGGGGAGTAGATAGCCGGGGTTAAGGGCCTTGCTCAAGGGTCCAGAGTGGGGCAAATAAGGGTGGAGACAGGTGTGGGTGCTTCGCCTTTCCCACCAACATTTTGATGTTGTCGGTACGAGGAGTCGTACAGGCCCACCTTCTCTAACCTCTGCGCCACCACTCCCCCCTGCAAAAGGGAGGACTGGGATATAAAGATAACCAAATACAATGAGCGACTGGAGAGGTGGTGACTGGTAACACCTGGGCAGATTGCTAATTAGGAACAGATGAAGGGGCAGACTAACTGAAACAAACACTGAGAAAGATGACAGAGGGTGAATGGAAAATGGCACAAGAAACACTGGGGAAAAAAGCTAGACTTAAACCAGAATACTACAAATGAACCCTAAGAATTACAAACTAAAAAAATAATAAAATCTACACTGAACAAGAGAAACACAAAAGAACCCAAAGGACAAAAATAAAACACGAACCACAAAGGAAATAATAATATGAACTAAAAGACTAAATAAAATCACAGACAGCACAGATAGAAACAGACAGAAAGCTGAACTCTTCACAGTTTGACAAGGCAAAACTGAAGAGTGTATTTAAAAGTTATCTGTTAAAATATATGCATCATAGATAAAAAAATAAAAATAAATTGTAAAAAAAGCTGAAAATGTTTTCTCCGGGTACTCTGGTTTCCTCCCACAGACCAAAAACATGCAAGTTAGGCTGGTTGGTAACTCTAAATTGTCCCTAGGTGTGAGTGAGAGAGTGAATGGTTGTTTGTTTCATTTGTCTCTATGTCCCTGTGATGGACTGGAGACCTGTCCAGAGTGTCCCCTGCCTGTCGTACAGTGATTGCTGGATATGGGCACCAGTGACCCCCGTGACCCAAAAAGAAAATGCAGGTAAAGATATTGGATGGATGCATGGATGTTTTGGAGTCATTCCTTGGCTTCTGTAAGTAATACTGCAATTTAAGGAACTTCCTCAAAAATATCATACATGACATGCTAAGAAAGTGATACTTAAAGTTTAGATATATTAGAATTTCAATTGAAAACAATGAAAAAGAAATATGATTCTGTCACGAACCTGTGCATCAGAATCTGACACCTCAACAGTCAGCTGAGCGGAGTCTTGGGCGCTGCAGATCACAACCTCTGCACGATCTGACTTGTTGATGAATCTAATAAAAGCAGCTAAAAAATACAGTTTTTTTGCTCAGATGCAATAATTTGTTGGTTTCACAGAAAATTAAGCAAAAACACTGGCGACACAGAAAACATAATAAAAATAATTAAGACTATACCCTTCACAGATAGGGTGCAGCTGCTCTGTGAACCTCCACCAACAAATTTGATTTCAGCGCCATTCATTTCCATGGTCACAGCACGAATGAGCAGTGTGTGTACGGTCTTTGACCTGGTGATGAGGTAGTCAGCTCCACTACGCAGGAGGCGCCCACCGAGGGACCAGAAGCCCGAGCAAACAGCAGACAGCTCCAAGGAGATAGAGAATTCTTCACCGACTACTGCAGCGCTGTTTATTAGGCCTTTTTTGATTTCTGCAGTGGGTTCTAAAAAAAAACCAATGCATTTAAAAATGGACCAACCAAAGACGTATATCTGAATAAAAACGTCTGTCTTACCAAGATAAAAGCTTCCAGGGACATCCAGATAGGGACTCTGGCCAAAGTCATTTATGGCAAAGATTCGGAACTGGTAGCTAGCTTCCTCAGCAAAGTTACAGATGGTGATCTCTGTTGAAACAAGGGATTCCCCAGCATTGCACCTCTGCCACATAGAAGCACCAACCTTCCTTCTCTCCACGATGTACCCTTTGATGGGCACAGGACGATCACTGTCAGGAGGAGACCACTGAATGGTGATAGACGAGTCTGTCTTGTTCTGCACCACAGCATTGACTGGGGGATCGGGCGGATGCTTCCGTGCAGCTGGAGTGGAAAAAGTGACAGTGAAAACAAACATTTCAAGTGGGAACAAAAAAGGTTGAATCATGTCATCTGGACTTCGTTTTTTTGTTAAAAAGAAACGTTTCGCCCCTCGTCCAAGAGGCTTCGTCAGTCTGAGGCCTAGCCATCTGGTATTACCCAGAAGCCACCCTGACTCTTGTGTTTCAAGCCTGCCTCAGATACCCCTGAAGTCTGGCCTTTTCACTAATGGTTTCAAAAGACTGACTGAATGACTGAAGACTGAATGACTGAGAAAACAAACTTTGTATTTCAAGTGGGAGTTTACATGTTTTTTGTTTTACCATATGCTATTTTCCTCTCGTTCCTTTCTTTTATTATTTGAATTGACAAGGTAAGAATAAAGGAAACTTTGTAACCATATGACAAAAATTAGGTTGACTCCATAAGTTTTTTAAATGATCTGACTAACCAGTGACGGTGAATCTTGTGGAAGTCTTGCAGTCGCCAGCCACAAAGGCTACTTCTCCTGAATCATCTGCCTGGCAGTTTTTAATTGTGAGAGTGTATTGTCTGAGCACACAGGCAATGGAAATACGAGAATCTTCCTTTAACTTCTCGCCATTTCGGGTCCAGTAGGCATCCAAACAAGGATGCTGCAGCTCAACACAGAAGATGACAGTGTCACTGACAGGGACTACTGTCCTCCGAGGAAGTTTCTTGGTGATGTTACCTGGGAAATTGGGATAAATACACTTTAAATAGCAATATTTTGTAGCACAGAAAACAATATTTTTGGAATTGGATAACAGAAATTATGTCATTATACTTTGTAGTAGAAACTAAATGGGAACTATTCCTGTCACAAAGTTTATAATATTAGTTACACTGTAAAGCTGCTTTGTGAAAAATGCTTACTAAATTTTCAACCACAAACGAGATGAATTAAAAAAAGTTTATACCTAGGACTGTGAGCTCAGCCACGGTGCGACTGCCCTCTTTCAGCTCGCAGATGTAAACACCATCATCGTTAGTGGTGACGTTGTGTATGGTCAGACTACGCAGGGTGCCGTCCTCCTCCATGCGATATTTGCTATTTTGCTCCAGACGTGTTTCCTCCATGAACCAGCTGGCCTGTGTGGCGCTATAGGGAACCTCACACATGAGCAAGGCTGACGACTTCTCTTGGACCTCCACATCCTGAAGCTTCCTCTTGAAAGGCAATTTAGGCTCTGACACAGAAAAAAATATAATGTTCAGATAACTTAACAATATGATTTATTTTAATAGCTTAATAAATGTGTTAATTCATCTACTGTAAACTGCAGCATCTGCATGACACTTCAAAGTAATTCCAGCAGTAACAAAGTAACAAGTAAGAATGGTATATATATATATATTTTTTTTTTTGGGGGGGGGGGGGTGTTTCTGGGTTTAGATTTTGGGTTCTGATTATTGTTATGATTCAATGCAACAAAACAAACACATTTTAAAGGTAACAGCTCATTGTAATACTTGGTTTATTTTAATATCCTGGTGTAGTGTACATTTCACAAGTTACTAGTTCTTCTGTAATCTAACTTTCCTTAATCCACTGAACACTAAACCCAACCAGTCCTCTGATATGAACACCAGAACAAGTTCAAAGGAATAAGGAATGTGTAGACAATTTCATTTGAACTTTTTCCACAGTTGCTTTTGACATAATTTATTTACAGTAGGAGACTTGATGCTAGAGATGCATGTGGTAAAATAGAAAATGCAGAGAAAGATCTGATGAGTTTACAGGAGCCATAAAATAAAGTAAAAAAACAAACAAACTGGTAATTGGTCTGTACTTATATAGCTCCTTTCTATCCAATCAAGATGCTGAAAGTACTTCACAACACAGTCTGTGTCATTTACCAGTCCTCACACACACTAATGTGGGGTTTCTGGGTTTTGTCCTGTCTTTTCTCTATCCTCATGTTTCAAGCACCCCTCAGTGTTCCTCCTCCTCGTGGTTCAGCTCCTGTCCCACCTGTGTCAAATCTTAATCACTCCAGGTGTTTGTCATTCTGTTTCATCAGCGTTTGTATTTATTCAGCATCCTTGTGTCCTGTTATTTGTCTGTGGATTGTCCTTCCAAGGCTACATGTTCTATTCCTCTGAAGTAAGTTTTTAGCTGCCCCGGCAGTTCTGTTTTATTTTATCACAATAAATGTACTTATTTTACTTGAGAGTCTCCTGTATTCAGCCTGTACGTGGGTTCTACACTTTAAAGCAGCAACATGATCATTCATACATTTCTGCAAAGCTAATGTGAATAAATGAATTTAATCAGTGCTTTTTAGATCACACTGGGACACATCCAAGGCTTAATGAGGGGTTCAGTGTTTTACCCAGAGACACTTCAACACGTGACTACGTACTGGTGAAGTCAAAGCGTATAACTCTCATTGGAGGATGACTGCTCTAACTGCTCGGCCACAACTACCCAAAAAGCTGAAATGTTGTGGAGATTTTGATGTTTTCTTTACAATGGATCAAGAATAAAGCTTTCTGATGATTGCATTTGTAAAAAAGTATGTATGAAGGTGCAAGTTTTACTTGTATGCACGCTCACTACTGCAGCAAATTCTCTATATTTACTATTACGCCCACACATTGTAAGACTCAACAATCTTCCATGAGTTTTATTACAGGGTTGAGTGGAAAACCTCTGCAAATAGACTAAAACAAATCCAGCAGACATTTTTTATGCTACAAAACTAATTTTTTTCAACATCTCTGTGTTGAATCATCGGTGTTAAATATAAAATGTGAAAAATAGCAAAACAAACAAAAAAAGAAAAATATGTCCATCTAAATATTTGGGCATCATGATTTGATGGGATATAGACTTTGAAAATTAAACTTTTTCTTTAACTTCTTATCAAAGGCAATGACAACCGAATTAACATTAGCAATTGCATTTACTTTTTTATAGCAAGCAAAGAAAAAGTGAACTGACATTAGTTTTACGGATTTAGATGTATTTCTTTAATTGCTGTATATATTAAAACAATAGCTATTCGATCTTCAAATCGTTTACTTTTCATCAACCAACAAAGTGCAAGAGACACCGTGAGATATCTATTTTCTTGCACCTTTAATGAACAGGGGCATCAGTGGCTCTTCAATCATTAGACTGAATGGAGATTAAGAGCAAACAAAAATAAACAAAAATAAGATGATAAAGAGTTCCAATTTCTTCCCATGGGAAGTCACACTAAGAGTGTGGCAACATGATATGGAGTAAAGCAGTAAGCAACTTTGAGCTCCTCGTCATCAGCAGAAAATAGATGCAATGCAATACGTCGATTCAGAGTGTTAGACTGAGTTTAACCTTGTCACGAACAGCCCAACGGATTTTGAGACATTCCAAAAGATCCAAATGAGACTTCAACATGGTGATTACAGCTACACTTGGAGCATAACCATAAAAGCGAATATTATCCTTTTGCAAAACCTGACAGCAAGCTATTGAAAAAACAGATTATGGTAAATTGAATGTGCTACCAACTACGACGTTAAAATATAAGATGATGCATAGCCTTAAAAGTTATATTCAAAAGCTCAGTCTCAAAAGTGAGTAAAATATGTTTGCCATGAGTCAAGATAGTCTCAACAGAGGAACACTTTAAGAGCTTACCTTTGACTGTTACCAACACAGCACTGTAGGTCTGCCCAGCCATATTGGTTGCATTGCAGGTGTAGAGACCATTGTCAGTCTGCTTGCAATACAAAACCTTGAGGATGAAGTTTTCAGCTTGGTCTTCATAAATGACGTGTCTGCGGCCCTCACCAATGTTTGTCCCATCCTTCCTCCAGGTAATGTGTGGTTTGGGGTGACCGGTCACAAAACAGCTCAGTTTGGCATGCTTGCCCTCAGTCACTGTGCAGGTACGGGTGAAAACACCTTTAGGAAGATTAGCCAGCGCAGACGCCCTCAGCTCATGTTCTAGACTCAGGGAACTCAATAAATCCTTCTTTTTGGCTGTGGAGAAGGAACTACTTTCCTCAGTGTGATAGATGGAAATGTCCTTCTTCATTTCCTCTTTGCGCTTTTGCAGATGGGAGAGGAGAGAGGTGCTCTTGTCTTTGTCTGCAGCCATGCGGCGATCATCCTGAGCTTCTACAACAAGCGCTGCTGCAGCCTGGGCACGGCCTACAGAGTTCTGGGCCCTGCAGGTGTAGGTGCCGCTGTCCAGGTTGCGTACGCTTTGGATCTTTAAGGTGCTGCTGTCACTGTCGGAAACTATCTTGATGCGGTTAGTCTGCCCCAGGTAGCGTCCATCCTTCTCCCAATCAAAGTTGGCGTCAGGGTGAGCTGCAACCCGGCAGTGGAAAACAACATCCCCGCCCAAACTCCCACGTGTGGAAATAGGCTTCACCATGAAAACGGGGGCCCTCTGAGCCATCTCTGTTGGCATGGCCACTTTAAGGGTCACAGCAGCATAAGCTTCCCCAACATTGTTTTTGGCTCGGCACATGTACTGTCCGCTATCCTCCAGTGTTAGGTCGTAGATGGTCAGGCGGTACACATCTCCATCCCCCACAGTCTTGAAACGGCCTCCAGATGTCAGCTTTAGCTTATCTTTTTCCCAGGTGATTAGTGGAGTGGGGTTCCCTACAACAGTGCAGCTGAGTGTGGCATCCTTGCCTGCGTACACCGAGAATGCTTTAGGGCGGGTGAGAAACCTGGGGGCTCCTCCAAACATGTTTTGATCCATTTTTTTTTTACCTGCAATGAAAAAGGAGACATATTTAAAATAAATAAATAAATATTGAAGCTGCACAATATATTACACATTTATTGCCATTACAATATGAGTGAGAGCAGTATGAGCATATTGCTTGAACTGTAATAAATCGTAGGCCATTATATTTCAAGTACCGTGCATTCATGAACTTCTACATGCTAATAATCTATTTGTTCAATCCAATGGACCTGGTTTCAATGATTGTGAAGACAATGAATCGGAAAATGTGAGTTTATTGCAAATGATGTTGTTATTGCAATATTAAACATCACAAGTTTTTCTAATATCATGCAGCCCTAACAGTACTGCCTTTATTTAGAGGCCTTTAATACGATACAACACACACTTATCAAAAATAGACATAATTTAAAAAAGGCAATATACAATTACATGAAATAATGCATTAACACTAAGCATGGATATATTTATAATGAAAAAATAATTTGCATTTGGTGAAGTAATAAGGAATTATGTAAGAGGGGTCAATGTTTTGGGTATTTTGTTGGAGGGTGTTTCAACAGTTAGAAGAACAATACTCAATATTTAAACCTTACAACTGTCTTGAGGGCCCACATTTAAGTAAAAGTGTTAATGGTTGGCATTTGGACATGTAAGACAAAACAAATAAAGGTTACTGAAAGGTGAGAAACAGAATATGGAAATCAATGTGGCATTTAAAAGTTCTGACAATGCCCCATGTGGCTGATTTCAACATAAACCAATTCTTAAGAACGAGCCCAAGAGTAATTATCATTACATTCAAGGGAGGTATGAAAACTTGAAGCAGTAAGCAAACATTATTTAAATTACAAAAACTAAAGAAGAATAGTTTTTTAGGAATAGTTTATTTTAATAGTGAAAATTACAGGGCGAAATTACAGCCTTTTTTGTCTGTTTAAACAGATATCACTTGTAAATGAGTCTTCTAGGCTCAGTGTGACTTATCTGTCTAAATAAAGGTTGAATGAAAAAAAAACTTGGGTAAGAAGGAAACAGTCAATATCTCATTGTTTTTATTATGAATGTTTAGCAAATGGACAGCAGGACAGTGGTGAGATGTGCTGAGTGACAGATAGCTTCAAGGTGGAGGTGGGAGTGCATCAAGGGTTAGCTCTGAGCCCCTTCTTGTTTGCTCTGGTGATGGACCGACTAACAGATGAGGTCAGGCAGGAATCCCCGTGGACTATGATATTTTGCAGATGACTTGATCTGTGGTGAGAACAGGTAGAAGAGAACTTGGAGAGGTGGAGGTATGCACTTGAAAGAAGAGGAATGAAAGTCAGCCGTAGTAAGACAGAGTACATGTGTGTGAATGAGAGGGAGGCTGGTGGAACAGTGAGGCTACAAGGAGCAGAGGTCACAAAAGTGCAGGACTTCAAGTACTTGGGGTCCAATGTCCAGGAAAATTGGGAGTGGGCTAAAGAAGTGAATAGGAGAGTCCAGGCAGGATGGAGTAGATGGAGAAAAGTTTCAGGAGTGATTTGTGACAAAAGAGTGTCAGCAAAGGTCAAAGGAAAAGTTTACGACAGTGGTGAGATCACCTGTGTTGTATGGTCTGGAGACAGTGGCACTGACAAAAAGACAGGAAAAAGAACTGGAAGTGGCAGAAATGAAAATGTTGAGGTTCTCCTCAGGAGTGACAAGGATGGATAATATTAGGAATGAGATAATCAGAGGTACAGCACAGGTTGAACAACTGGGATATAAAGTTAGAGAGACCAGACTGAGATGGTTTGGACATGTCCAGAGGAGGGACAGTGGGAATACTGGTAGAAGGATGTTAGAAATGCAGCTGCCAGTAAAAAGACAGAGGAGATATATGGATGCAGTTAGAGAGGACATGGAGGTAGTTGGAGTGAGGACAGAAAATGCAGAGGACAGAGTGAGATGGAGGAGGCGACCCTGAAGAGGGAAAAGCCGAAAGAAAAAGAAGAAGCAAATCTCTAAACCAAAACTTAAATACCAGATAAACAAAATGTATTCATGTGGTAGACAAAAACAACATTTGACACAATTTAAGACCAATGTCCAGAAATACCTGATGGCTGTATAAACATTTTGAGTTTATACTTGGATCCAATTAAATAAATAATCTAAATTAATACGAACTCTGCATAAATAAATTTTAAAAAAAGAAGCTTTTTCACACATCATTGTGAAAAACACAGTTGTGGTCCATTATGTGTACAATTCTCCACTCATTAAATTAAAAATTAATAAATTAAATTTGCTGCTGATCTGTTTCATGTTGCTGCTGATCTGTTTCAATGTTGATGTGTTCATGCGTGCACATCTGCTCACAGACTCATGTTCATGTTTGTGGTGATGTTCAATGTTTTATGTTATGAGTGCTTAGTGTATATTTAGTTGATGCATTTCTTAGTTCATATCTTAGATGTTATTACTGTTTTTCTTATACATTTTATTGTTGGATGTAACTGGGACCCTGTGTACATAATTTCGCTCCACCACATGTACCACATGAGGTGCGAATGACAATAAAGAAACTCTGACTCTGACTGACTCTGACTAAAAGCAGTTAATGCAACATGACTTTGTTGGATGCAACATGTACTTTACAGTTTCCTTCGTGCACACTAAAAATATGTTGCTCAATGAAAATAGACATAAAACCAGAGCTGAGTGACATATTTATAGATGACAGCTACAGTAGACTACAGTACAAACCCCCCCGTCGTACTGCACACATTTAAGTCAATCAATAAGGTAGGTTAATAGCACAAAAACAAACAAATACTTCTGTAACAAGGTCATATGGAGAATATATTTGCCTTTCAAAGTTTGACATTTGCCAGCTTTTGTCACCTCAGTAGCTCGGACTGCATGTCCCAAAAATAACCTCAGCTGTCTGAGCCCGTCTCTGTCCATTGCCATTTGTAGAAACGCGGGCTCGTTTGATAAGGCTCCCACTTCGGAAACACACTTTATTTCTAGCATTGTCCCTTTTTCTACCTGCCAGAGAACGCTTCTGCAATGTCATAACGACAAACTGTGGTTAATAAAGCCTGTATAAATGACCAAAAGTATTTTCGTTAGTTAGTGTTTTTTTTTTACAAAATGGTAGCATAAACATTCTTTAGCTAGCTAGCTAACACTGAAGTAGCATTGTAGTTCACAGGTGGGCGGAAAGGGTAATTAATTACCAACAAAAAAAATAAGGTGAACACTAAATAGTAACGTTTCCTAGCGCAGAATTTTTTTAAAATTATTATTACCTGCTGTTATTATTATTTTTGCTTAAGTTAATTAGTCACCTTGACTTGAGCCTTCAGCCTCTCAGTTAAAAGTCCATCCAATCACGTGACAGTCACTGGGCCATTTAAATTTCCAGATGGTGTGTCCAGTTCAATAATGATTTAAAAAATCCCCACTTAAAAGGTCTTTTTGTGCGTGAATATCCAGTGAAAAGATCATAAATCCCAGATGGTGATGGAGCTCCCCCCGTCTCCTTTGGTGGGACCTTTTCCCACCCCTTTCTTCTCTGGTGGCCCATGATGCCACAGAGCTGACGTGCTCGGTTTGGTGCAGCCTCCTTTTCCAAAATAGACGTGTTATTTGCAGTGCAGATAGGAGATAGCCCTGGAGGACAGGCCAGGCCTCTGCTGCAAACTCAACACACCACTCAGTTTAACAAATCACTCTTACTGAGTTGAATATTGAACTGTGGATGTTTACAACTTCAGAGTGGTGGCTTTCAGCAGATCATAACCATAGAAAGGATCTTGGGAATATAACTCATATGATTAATTATGAGCTAAGCAACTTTTTCTAGTGTTTTTCTTCTTCTGGGGTTTCATCAATCCAAAAAAAAAAAGGTTACATTTTCAATAACATGTTCAGGTTAATGCAACCCTAATTACAAAATTGTTGCTACATAGTGTAGAATGTAAATAAAAGCAGAATGCAATTCTTAAAAACCCATATTTCGTTCGCAATTAATCAACATAACAAATGTTGAAACTAAAAAAAATTATATCTAACAAGGTTGAGTCAGTTCCGCTGGATGAGTTCTTCTTTGTTGAAACGTTTCGTCTTAATCTATACTCTTTTTTTTTAAAGAAGTCATATCTTCATCTTTAAGCGTAACTTGTTTGTTTCTCTTGAACAAAACGTAGCTGTCCATTTCTAAAGGCTATGTTGGCTACGGCCACCTTTTGTGTGTTATCTTACTCTATGGTGGCCACCATCAGAACAACTTCCGGGTCACACATGTGATAGAAAACAAATATTACAATGACTGGACGAGTCTACCAAAGTTTGATTTTTGATGTGAGGTTAAAGTCAAAAATGCAGAAAACAATGACGTATTGTATTTTTTGAATCGCACATAAAAACCAATGATGAAAGGACAAGTCGTTTTTTCATATTTTGATTTTTGATGGTCAATGAAAAAACAATTGAACGAAAGGTACACGGCCTATTTAGCAACAGGTCAGTAAGAAAGTTGAGTATAATGAGAGTATTTTAGAGACGTTCAATGTATCAGAAGTAAAGATGGGCTGAGGTTCACCACTCTGAAAAAGACTAAGTCAAAAATTAGTGGAACGATTTCAGAATAATGTACCTCAATGTAAAATTAGGAATACTTATTTACTATTCATAATATAGTAAAATATTCAAGATATTTGTAGAGATCTTTGAGCTCTATGATAAAGTCAAAAATTAATATTGAATACCCGTAATCTTCAGGCCTTCTGGCAGCACGGCCTTACAAACAAATTACTGCATGGCTCAAGAACACTTTCGCAAACACATGTCTGTAAACACAATTTGTTGTGCCATCATCAAATTTAGATTTAAAGCTCTATCATGCAAAGAAGAAGTCATGCATAAACATAATATAGAGATGTTGCCATCTTTTACAGGCCAAAGCTAATTTAAGATGGACTGAGGCAAAGTGAGACCCTGTTCTGTGGTCAGACAAATCCAAAATTGAAATTATTTTTTAGAAAGCAGACGCCATGCCGGGTTAAGGATAATCCAGTCTGCTATCAGCGCACAGTTCCAAAGCCTGTCGCTCTGATGGTATAGGGGTGCATTAGTGCCTTTGGCATGAGCAGCTTAGATATCTGGAAAAGCAGCATCAATACAGAGAACTTTAGACAGGGTTTAGATCAACATATATTCCCATTCAGAACAAAAAGACTCGGGACCATAGAACAGGTACAATTCTACATCAGGTAAGATTGAAACAATGTTCCCCTCCCAAAACTCCAGTAGCTGGTCTCTTCAGTTAAATTTCAAAAATGTTTACATATTGTGAATGTGGGAGTTCCTGTTCCACGTCTGTCTTTGGTCACCAGAGAGCACCATGCTAACACACCTGCGAACAATGTTTCCTGATAAGGCACCTGATGACTTCCCTTCCATGCTGGAGCATTACCTTGCTTATATGGTTTGTGCTTCTAGCCCTTTTGTGAATCTCTAGTCTTGTGATTACCTTTTGCCTGATATTTCCAGTGTGCCTCCTGAGACCTATCTGATTATCGGACCTTCTAGTGAACCTCTGGAAACCTACCTGTGCACTCCAGCTGTTTCCTTTGCCCTCCAACCACACGCCCTCCTGAGTCTACCGGACGTTCCCATGGTTGTACAGGATCTTGGAACCAAACTACTTGCCATCCATCTACTAGTAAGAACCTTAGCTCTGGACCTGACCCATCTCTTTGCTTCCCAGGGTTCCTGATACTTCCAGACTCACTGTAAATAAAAACACTGAATTTATACTAATGTGTCTGAGTTATTCTTTATCGGTCCTTTTGCTCTGGGTTAGAAGAAAGATATAGAAGAAAACGATACATATTTTTAATGTGGACAGTTTGCAGTGAAGTTATGAAGTACTGGTTATTGAACTTGAATCAGTCAGTTTGGTATATTGAGTAATGCAATACAATTTTTGATCCTTGCCTATTTGTGCAAATGTAACCTTGTAAGACAATTTCTATTGTATCAAATGAAATCCTGCCTTATTTCAACTGTGCGTTGAGATGAGCTCTAGAATGTTAAATGTGAATCTAATTTTGTGTTTTAACCATTTCTGATGGTCTTTCTGCTTTATTCCTACATTCAATTTGCCTTCTATGACATTTTTCTGTTGAGCCTGTTTGACTTCAGTCATAAAAACACTCACAGACTTGACTTGGTTGGAAGTTTGACTGTAGTCACGTGGGAGGCTGTGGCATGCTGTTTTTCTGCAGTCACCATTGTGACAGCTGCACGGTGCATGTCAGGCTCATAATTAGGTTATGACTTCAGAGGAAATTAATAATTCAGGGTTACTATAAAATGATTCTCTTTGACTCTTTTAGTGTGATGTAAGCATTTATTGAAACATGAGATGGATAACCGAAGTTGCTGACTGTAAAGCACCTCCTTTTCTACATGTAAATTTCCATTGCAACTTTTTGATGGTATAAAAAAAACAATACATGGTTTAACCTTTCATCTTTATTCTTTGGCATCTCTTGTATTTCCTTGGTCTCTCAGTGTGGGCTTTCCCCCAGTGTCTGTGAGTGACAGCAGCAGGTCGCCTGGACCCTGATTTAAACTCTCCGAAACTTTAGCGGGCACTAATCTACTGTTGCTGCTCGTCTCTGCTTCATCCTGTGCTGGCTGCTGTGTTTAGTTTCCATATCCCTGAATGTACACTGAAGAACGTTTTATGCAAACCTAACGTTGGACTCACTTAAAATAGGTGTTTTTTTTTTTTTTCTTTTCTTGTGTTCTTTTATATAATTCCTCAATGTGCAAACATTGCGCAGGAGGTCACTCAAAATTTCTAGAGCTTTTGGTAAACTGAAGATCACTCCTTGGCAGTAAATAGTCTTTCATGACAGCTGAAGGCACAACGTGCCAGAGAGGATCAAACGGCTACAGTTTCCACATTGAACATTGTGTCAGGTTGAAATGGTTTATGAAAAATGTTTAGCATGTGTACCTTCCAGTGTGACCCGATCTCCCAGACATTTCAAGAGTAAAGGCATGGTTGTATCATGTTCACAGGCATGAACACATGGGTGTTTGGGGCCTGTAAACATTATATAAATGTTAGTTTCCACCAAAAAGCAATTTACACAGGATGCACAGCAGATGGCGCACACGTCTACTATTTGCAGGAGGAATTTTAACAGCACAGACAACTGCTTGAGAACAAAACTGATACATAAGAATCAAATAAAACATTATTTTATTTACAGGTTACCATATTTTTTTGGACTATAAGGCGCAATATCAACGAACGGGTCTGTTTTCATATATGAGGCGCATCGGTTTATAAGGCGCATTAACCCAAAAAAACCAGTCAGATAAGTCAAACTTTATTCAACTCATTCACAATAACTCTTAACATTGTTGTACCACACAAAATTGGTTTGAGGTCAGTAAGCACAACCAGAATTAATACATAAGGCGCACTGGATTATAAGGCTCACTGTCGATCTTTGAGAAAATTAAAGGATTTTAAGTGCGCCTTACAGTCTGAAAAATAAGATATATATTATTTGAAGCACCTGTACAGACAAGTGTTTTCCAGGGCAACAAGAGCAGCACAACATATTATAGTGCTGCAACAAGAGCCAGCAAATGCCCAAGATTTAAAATATAATAATATATATTATATATTTATAACATATGCATATGTATATATATATATATATATATATATATATATATATATATATATATAT